GAAGGCTCTTAAAAGACCAAATTTAAAAAAAAAATTTCTCAGGTCTTTTATTATAAATATTTAAAAAACTTTTTTGCCTATATTAGTACTTATTTTGAGAATAAAAATAATGGTTTGTTTTTAATTTTTATTTAACATCATAATCTGCAGACAGCATCCAGATCGAAACTCCAAAAAGTTAGTTGTCCAATTGCGGACAGTTTATCTCAAGATTGACAAATCGGAAACAAAAAATCCAAATTGCTTTTTAAAAAGGAAGGTGTCTTGCATAGAAATCTACCACCAATAATGAAAAATCGACTAAAATAAAAAAATAGCAGATGTTTCAATAATTTGTTTAAAAATACACTATGTTTTTCAGTATTTTTCTAGTCTGCAAAAATGTTTTTTTTTAAATTTTTTGACCATTTTCTGGTAAATTGTCACACAGGACATGCTAACAAACAAAACGAGTTATCATTTATTAAAATCGGTTCAGTAGATTCAGAGATAAACTGTCCGCAATTTGAGAAAAACGCGTTTAAACTTATAAATATGTATCGTTAGAGGCCATCCATAAATTACCTAAAATTCTTTTGCAAATTGAAACCCCACCATTTTTTTTATTTCAGACACTGTTACATACATTAGCACCAATGTTTCTAGTGGTCGTAACAAAAAGCTGGACCCCACCATCCCCTTCAAACCTCATTTAATTTGTCAATGGCTCTTTATATTTATTGATTACTTTTTGAAAAATTTACTTTTATTATTTACAGTTGGTTACGAATACTTTAGGAGGTGTTTTTTAAAGCCTTACACGGAGAGAAATTTATAGTAGTGGGTAACATAATTGTGGTTAGGGTGACCATCTTTAATGCTACGTATACAGACAGCTATCTAGATAGTCACCGTTACCATCAATATCATCAGGAGTAACATCTTGGTAGTACGGGGTAGCATAACTATATTTTTTTTAGCATCTGGGATGGTTGGGAGTAGCATAATGATAGTATCGTGTAACATCATCTTTTTAACATCAAAATCTGACTATCCATTTCTCTCAGTGTAAGGATTTAAAAAATACAATAAAAAAAAATAAAATTTTTTTAAATTCTAAAGTGTAGTACTACCTTAAAAAATAATTTTTGCTTTTCTACATATTTAACTAACGTTTATAACTTTTACTACACTTCAGAATTTTTAAAAATATTTATACCTATTGAAATAATATTTCGTTTATTTGATTATTGAGAATTTTCAAAACAAAAATTTACTGGGGGAACTGTGAATTAAGTTTTCTTGAAGCTAAAATAAAAAAATGTGATTGTAAATTGTTGTTTCAAAGCTTTATGTCATTGTTTCACATCGAACAGTCACTAGAATGCGTAAAGTAATCATTTTACGCACTGAAAATCACTTTACACACTGTTTTCAGTGTTTAAAATTGAAATTTACAGGTTAGTGTTGCAAAAAATATGTTTCCTATGGAAAAAGTTTTTGAAAAATATGCCTTTTTATTTGTGTTAGGTAGTTTTTGAGGTTGAGGATAGTTTTTTGGAAAATTCTTCTTAATGATATGTTAGAGCACTAAATTAATTCTCAATTCCTGTGAAAGAGATTTTTAAAAATTCTTACTTTTTAGTGTACCATACGTTTTCTTAAAAAATTTAACAGCTCTAAATTTTTAAATATGGTACTAAATTAGCACTAAATTAGTTCTAAATTCCTGTGAAAGCGTTTTTTAAAAATTCTTATTTTTTAGGGTATGGTACTTGTAGCTATTCGTCAAGCCTGTAGTACCATACGTTTTCTTAAAAAATTTAACAGCTCTAATTTTTTATAAATGGTACTAAATTAGCACTAAATTAGTTCTAAATTCCTGTGAAAGCGTTTTTTAAAAATTCTTATTTTTTAGGGTATGGTACTTGGAGCTATACGTCAAGCATATATGTAGTACCACACGTTTCCTTAAGAAGTTTAACAGCTCTAATTTTTTATATATGGTACTAAATTAGCACTTAATTAGTTCTAAATTGTTGTGAAGAAAGAATTTAAAAAATGCCTTTTTATTTCCTTTGTCTACTTTTTTAGGTTAGGCGTATTTTTTAGAAAATTCTTTTTAATGCTCTGTTAGAGCACTAAATTAGCTCTAAATTCCTTTGAAAAAAGTTTCGAAAAAATATACATTTTTATGTTTGCTAGGTAGTTTTTGAGGTTAAGGGTAGTTTTTGTAAAATACTCCTTTTAATTCTATATGAGAGCACTAAATTAGTTCTAAATTTCTATGAAAAAAATTTTGAAAAAATATTTTTTTTTCGTTAGGTAGTTTTTGAGATTAAGGGTAGTTTTGGAAATAGTATATTACGATACTAGGCCAGAAAGTTGGATTTCCTGGCCGGCGTGATATATAAGGCCGAGGCTTTATATATTACGCTCGCTAGGTTATCCAAATTTCTGGCCGTGTGTCGTATACAATTTTTCTGTATCCCCAGCCGAAAGTACATTAAATAATTATTGTTTGAATAATAAAATAGCTGAATAAGTTGCCCGCCCGACTTTTGCAAAGTCGAGGCGAAGCCGAGACTTAGCTGGTCGGGGCGGGCATGAAAAAAAATTATAAGTAAAAAATAATTGGAAGTAAAATTTAAAAAATAGTAAACAAGAAATTTTCTTTTACAAATAAATATTTAATAGTATACAAAATATAATAATAATAAATAAAGGAAAATAAGAAATTTCATGCATTATTTTGATGACTGTCAGTTGTTTTCAAAACGTGAGCTCTGTAAGTAACGTGTTTGTGTGGTTGCTATGCTAACATGTACGTGTGTTGAAATTCTTGTAACCAATCAGAGCGCTCGTTGGGTCTGTCGAGCCGGCCACAAAAGTCGCTATTCCCGGAGCCAAATCAGACCGGGAAGACAGTACTTTCGGCAAAGGGATACAGAAAATTCTTTTTAACGTTATGTTAGAGCACTAAATTAGTTCTAAATTCATGTGGAAAAGTTTTTTAAAAATTGTTATTTTTTAAAAAAAGTAAAAAGTCCGACATTTTATTATTTTTCAATGAAAGTTTTTTATTTTAGTTCTGGCTGTAACCACTTATCTATATATATATATATATATTTTAATAATCCGTTTGAATTTTTTGATTCCGTCTATTCTGACTGGAGATATCATTATCATGTCAACCAGATTTTCGAGATTTTTTTTTACAGTCGCCATTTCTTCGCAAAAGACCCAGACTGCCCCCTTAATTTTAATAAAATTGTTTAAAGAAATTTAATAATTTTAAAAAATTCTTCGAAACATTTCAATTATTTTTATAAATAGTAAAATTCTTCGCAATAATTTAATTATTTTCAATACAATTTTAATAAAATTCTTCTTTATAAAATCCAATTGCTTTTAAAATTTTTAATTAAAATTGTTAAAGAAACTCCATTAGTTTATAAAATAATTGAAAGAAATTCTTCAAAAGAATTTAATTGAGATTTTTAAAAATTTTAATAAAATTTTTCTTTATATTAATAAATTATATTTTTTGTTCCTTCGATTCTACATTGTAGAGTTGTTTTAAGTTGTTGTTGTTTTAATTTTAATTTTTGTTGGAGAATCTACAACCGACTCCATATCATTGGATTTACTTTTTAAAATATTTTTTTTTATTACTTTTACAGTCAATCCAAATAATGTGCCGTAGCACATTATTTTCTCATTTATAAATTGATTAATAATAAGTGAAAATATTAATAAATTATAAAAATTGAAAATATCAATATTCAAAATAGTAAAATTACATCTTGTATTTTTCATTTTCGAGTATATATTTCTCCTACATTAAAAAAAGTATTATTGACAAGGATTTTATAAAGTAAAATTTATTACCATAACATTTTTAAAACTTTTCATAGTATGGCTGACCATATAAAAATTTTATGTGTTATCGTATAGTAAACAACGTAAAATAGGGGGAAATATTGATAAAAAAAGGGGAATTTTTTAGAATAGAGGAAAAAAAGCGGAATAGGGGAAGCACTATGAAGCCTGTTTTCAATAACTGTTTAAAAAACACTTCTGATCATATTTCAGGAGTAAGTTTTTAAAACTAGATAAATCCATATTTTCTTATTTCGAGAAATTGAAACAAATGACTTTCCTCACTTAACAACTGAAATTAATTTTAAAATAAAAAATTTTTAATAATTTATTTCTATAACAATGTTTTTATGTTTAAGACGATCTATTTTTAACCAAACTCTATCATAATTAAGTGATTTAAAGATTTTGGTAATTTTTCTTAAAAAAGATAAAAATTATAAATCATCTTGGTTATGTCAAAAAGTTTTTAAATTTAAAATTCGTTGTTAATAAATTCTTTATCTTAAATTTAACAGTGACAGGTCGATTTGTGAGGTCCTCAAAATATTAAATTCATGTTTATCTCCATTTAAAAAAAAAATGGATTTATCAGCTTTTGAAAACTTGCCCATTTAATAAAAATTTCCATTTTAATTCGCCTTAAAATAAAAATATTCACTATTTTTTTTTTGCATGAAATTATATAATTTAAACTGTCCTTTAGAAGATAATTTTAAAGAAATTGTCATCTTGAAGTATTTTCCTAAGCGATTAGGCAACAGTGAAACTAATTTTTAAAAACAAGTAACTTTCATTTTTAAAAAAATGTCCAACTCATTCAATTATTTTAGTGATTTTAATATAATTTTTTAGGTTAAATTGTCTAAAATAATGCTGTTTTATATTGTTGAAAATACGATTGAAAGATAGAAAGAAAAACCGTTAGCGCGTCCTTTTCTAGTTTGACGGAAAAAAGAGCAACTTACAAACAAAGCAGTTTATGTTAAATTTTATCATCGAAGTGGGGGAAAAACGATCAAAGGATAAACATGGACGAATATACAGATGGGTATCTTATGAGAGATTGTTCGTGTTTCAAGTTTAAAGAAGAGTTTAAATGAATTTGCAAAGTCAAGTAAAGTAAAGTAATGACTTACCCTTTGGCAGCAAGAGACACTCGAGTTGATTCGAGAGTGACTTTTTCAACAGCAACGATTCTTTTCTTTCCTCGCGAGATTACCGGAGTTGGTCCCTAAAAATCGTGAAAAAAAAAATGATTTGTGAGTTGTGTTTAATAGAAGTGAATTTATTGGAAATATGTTTTGTTGTTGTATGCCGATAAATAAAAAATTTATACCGCCAATGTATTTTCGAGGGAAATTATTGTTCTCAAGAGAGAATTGGAAGGAAAAAAAGAAGCATGCTTCCTAAGTGCCGCCATATTTTTCTTGGTTCAATTTCAATAATTGTGTTTCGGAGTCAGGAACGAGGATCAGCAGCAGCAGTGCAATAGTAGTAGTGTATATAGTAGTAAGAGCAGCAGCAGCAACTTGGGTTCATTGGTTGTTGAGATGAGGTGAGCGGTGAAAAGTGAGGTGAGGTGCGTTGCTGCGGTAAGCCGAGGCGACGAGGCTCAACTTGATGAGCAAGTGAGAAGGAAGTACCAGTGCAGTGAGAAGAGAAACGTGAAAAACCTTCGTCAGTTAACGCTAGAGGCGCCTCGGCGGCTGCGCTTGTTGTTTCCCATGATCCGCCATTTTATAGTCGCCATTGAAAGGTGAAAACCCTCTTAAATGTTCTCGACAAGTAGTGATCTCGTTTTGGAATTTCGGGCTTAATCGTGTTGTGTAGTGCTAATAGTGAATCAGTGTACAATGGATAAGCTATGACGCACCCGTCGCATCAAACGAACGGCGCCAGTTTAGAGGATTGCCACACAAATTTCTTTGCTCTGGTAAGTGAACTACTCTGACTTTGCAATGTCCACCCTAGACTAGAGAGAACACTTACTGTTACAGGCTGTCATGTGACAACCATCTTTCAAGACGTTCTTCTATTTTCATTTTGCTTCGAATATTCCTCATTTCAGAGAAAAACTCCTTTTGTACAATTGATTTTACTACTATTATTATTATTATTACTACTACTACTACTACTATTAATACTTAGTAACTACATCTCATTCGTCTTCTCACGCTTTCTCTTTCTTTCTCGCTTCAATGCTTTCTGTTTATATATCGTTTACTCTCTTGTGCTCTTCTCTTTACTGCAGTTATTCTTTAAATATGTATATTATGTGTGTATATATATATATATATATATATATATATATATATATATATATATATTTGTGTGCATGGGTGTGTAAGCGCGCGCGTGTGTCTGTGTCTGCGCTGTCTATTATCCCACGCACATAGACAACAATTAATATGCACATGTAAGATGCACAAGTGTCACAAAGTGTAAGTCAGTTTCGATTTGCTTTACGCTTTCGAACGATTCCATTTTTTCCTCTTATTTTCGTTTCTGTATCGAGCCGATTAGCTTTACTCGAGAATCACGTCATTCAGATCTCTCAATTTCTGTTTCTGTCATGTTTGGTTGCAAGGACGAAACTCGAGAATGCATTGAACACCACCACAACCACCATTACATCGGCCTTAGAATGTTAAACATGCAACAGGGTCTACCGAGTTTATCTATTCAAAATTTTACTCAGATTTATCGAGTTTTACTCTTATTTGACAGTTGTATCTCACTAGATATGTGTCAATTATTATATATGTATGTCAACATTTTTTTCCCCTCAATTACAACGTATACAATGACTGAAAGTGTAAAAATTGTTTTGTAGTTTTGTTTTCACAAATTTATAAAATGTGTTTACACAATTGCAATTATTTTTTCGAGATTTTTTTTAAAGAAAAAATGATTCAACCAGCTGACAAGAAACTGACCTTACTATATTTCCCCCAAAGCCGTTCTACACTATTTAACGCAACACAACTTTCTAAACAATCCCAGGAGCGCATAACATTGGAACAAAATTTTTTTATTACGCGGAGGTCTGCTATGAACAAAAAGTTTTGAACGTTCAAATGAACGAAATATTTTTTGTTAAAAATATTTTCATAGATTATTGATTACAATTCAAATTAAAAACTCAAATTTTACATTTAGAAACATTATCATTAATTTGCTTAATAGTGACGCAAAATTATAGTAATAAAAATTTAATTTGAAGAAGAAATAAATAAATTTCGTTCATTTGAACGTTCAAAACTTTAACCTCCTTCTGCTAACCAATAATCATTATCCGTATAATGAATATTTATTTTTTATAATAGTAATATTATTGATAATTCCAACGGCCAGACTACATTAAAAGTAAATTTTTTAAATTTGTTTTTATTATTCATATGTAAATATAAAATTGGTACTGGTCACAAAATCTTTGCCAATCAATACTTGTTAGAACGTATCTTTCAGTTATTATTTTTATTACTATTATTATTATTATTAGATTTTATTTCTATTGAGAATTTTTAATGATCGATAAAATGGTAACGCCACGGAGATTTTTTATGAAACTGAAGTTACCAACGTTGATTCAACGAAAAACTTAAAAAAAAAATTTCTCAGGATACAAATTTTTCTTGTTTACTTTTAACCCAAGTAAACCCTCTAAACCCTAAAATAAAAAAAACATGGGAAAAATAGTGATTTTTAATTTTTTTGTCGAATTTTTTTTTAAAATCACACAATTTCAATTAAATTAATAATTCCTCCCATCGGTAGTCATTTTTTTCTTTTGATAATTGATTTTTCTGGCATTAGACGTTATTTTAAAAAATTTCAAGTAATTCCAAGTCGGGGAAAGCAGTGATTTTGGTTTTTTGTCACGGATTTTTGGAAAATGCGAGAATTTTAATTAATTTAATAATTCCTCGCCTCGGTAGTTACTTTTTTCTTGTGATAATTGTTTATTTTAATATTGGACACTATTTAAAAGAAATTTTAAGTGATTCCAAGTCGGGGAAAGCAGTGATTTTTAATTTTTTTGTATCACGAATTTTCCAAAAATTTCAAAATTTCAAATTAATTAATGTTTCCTCGCCTCGGTAGTAATTTTTTTCTTTAGACTAGCTCTTTAGTGCTAGTTTTTATATGTCCATTGTCCAAGTCCATTATTTCATTAATAATAATATTTAAATTTTTTCAGTTAATAATTTGCTTATTTATATTTGAAATGTTGACGTTTTTTTTTGACAATGCAAAATAAGATTTATTTTGAGTACTTTCTCTTAACAAAAATAAAATTTATATATTCGCGCTCTTTTTAAATAACATACGACTGCAGCGCCACTTTCACATGTACAAACAATTTTAAAAACACCCTTCTATTAAGATTTTACATTATCATTGCCCATTCTTTACTTCGATACTTTTCGATACATTCGACCTTTCCACTCCATGTCTTTTTTAAGAAAGGATCATTGCCCATTCTTTACTTCGATACTTTTCGATACATTCGACATTGATAATTGTTTATTATACTGTCGTGTGTCATTTAAAAAAAATGTTAAGTGGTTCCAAGTCGGGGAAAGCAGTGATTTTGATTTTTTTAAATGAAATTTCGTAATTTTTGGAAAAAATTCGACAAAAAAAAATCAAAATCACTGCTTTCCCCGACTTGGAATGACTTGAAATTTTTTTAAAATAACGCCTAATGCCAGAATAAACAATTATCAAAAGAAAAAATTGACTACTGAGACGAGGAAACATTAATTAATTTGAAATTTCGATATTTTTGTAAAATTCGTGACACAAAAAAATTAAAAATCACTGTTTTCCCCGACTTGGAATCACTTAAAATTTCTTTTAAATAGTGTCCAATATTAAAATAAACAATTATCACAAGAAAAAAGTAACTACCGAGGCGAGGAATTATTAAATTACTTGAAATTCTCGAATTTTCCAAAAATCCGTGACAAAAAAACCAAAATTATTGTTTTCCCCGTTTTGGAATCTTTTGAAATTTTTTTTAAATAGCGTCTAATATTAAAATAAACAATTATCAAAAGAAAAAAACGATTACCGAGCCGAAAAATTATTAATTTACTTAAAATTTCGTGATTTTTGGAAAAAATTCGAAAAAAAAATAAAAATCACTGCTTTCCCCGATGAAACTGAAGTTACCAACGTTTGTTCGACGAAAATTATAAAACGTAACAATTTCCTCGCCTCAGATCCAATTTTTTTTCCACATTTATTATAGATACTAATATTAGAAGCCATTAGAAATTATTTTCAAGTGGAACCAGGTCGGGGAAGGCAACGATTTTGATTTTTTGGCACGGATTTTTCGTATTTTTTAAAAAATCCGCGACAAAAAATCAAAATTATTACCCTCCCCAACCTGGTTCCAGTTGAAAATAATTTCTTATGATTCCTAACATTAGTATGTTTAATAAATGTAGAAAAAAAATTGGATCTGAGGCGGGGAAATAGAAATTGTTTCAAAATTTCTGAATTTTCGAAAAATCCGTGACAAAAAGTCAAAATCATTGCCCTCCCCGACCTGGTTCCAGTTGAAAATAATTTCTTATGATTCCTGACATTAGAATTTTTAATAAACGTGGAAAAAAATTGGATCTGAGGCGGGGAAATAAAAATTGTTTTGAAATTTCTGAATTTTCGAAAAATCCGTGATAAAAAAATGTAAAAATCGTTGCCCTCCCCGACCTGGTTCCACTTGAAAATAATTTCTAATGGCTTCTAACATTAGTATTTATAATAAAAGTGGAAAAAAAATTGTATTTGAGGCGGGGAAATGGATTCCCCGACATGGAATGACTTGAAATTTTTTTAAAATAACGTCTAATGTCAAAATAAACAATTATCTAAAGAAAAAGATGACTACCGAGGCGAGGAAACATTAATTAATTTGAAATTTCGAAATTTTTGGAAAATTCGTGACACAAAAAAATTAAAAATCACTGCTTTCCCCGACTTGGAATCACTTAAAATTTCTTTTAAATAGTGTCTAATATTAAAATAAACAATTATCTAAAGAAAAATATAACTACCGAGGCGAGGAAAGAGGAATTATTAAATGAATTAAAATTCTCGGATTTTCCAAAAATCCGTGACAAAAAAACCAAAATCACTGCTTTCCCCGACTTGGAATTACTTGAAATCTTTTTAAAATAACGTCTAATGCCAGAAAAATCAATTATCAAAAGAAAAAAATGACTACCGATGCGAGGAATTATTAGTTTAATTGAAATTGCGTGATTTTTGAAAAAAATTCGACAAAAAATTTAAAATCACTACTTTCCCCACGTCTTTTTTATTTTTGGGGTTTAAAGGGATTTACTTGGGTTAAAAGTAGACAAGAAAAATTTGTATCCTGAGAAAATTTTTTTTTTAAGTTTTTCGTTGAATCAACGTTGGTAACTTAAGTTTCATGATTTTTTTTTTGAATCGATAAAAAATATTTTCATTTAAAAAAACCATAATATTATCAAATAAATATCAATTAAATTACAGGGTTGCTACGCAACCTGGAAACATGGAAAACCTGGAAATGTCAGGGAATTTTGATCGAAATCCTGGAAAATTGTTGTTTTCTACACTGAGAGACCTTTGGGTCAGCAGCAGACTTTCGATAGGCTGCTATTGACCATTTTGAAGGAACGCTACAGGACTATACTTTTGGGTTGCTGCGGTAAAATCTTGGACGCGTGACAGTCCCAAAGTTGTTCAGCTGCAAACCAAAGGCGGCATTCCCACTACTTCGGTGAGCTGCTCACCAACATTTGGGACTGTCACGCGCCCAAAACTTTACCGCAGCGCACCAAAACCATAGTGGAGCTGCTGTCACAATTTAGTGTTGCCGCGATAATGGCGAGAGGCGAGACGAGACGAGAGAACTTTGACTCGAGACGAGAC